ACAAAGTACAATATCCATTCATAATAAAAATTCTCAACAAAGTAGGTTTAGAGGGAACATATCTCAACATCATAAAGGCCATCTATGAAAAACCAACAGCTAATATCATCCTCAATGGGGAAAAACTGAGAGCTTCTCCTCTATAGTCAGGAACAAGACAGAAATATCTACTTTCCCACTTTTATTTACCTGAGTACTGGAAGTCCTAGTCACTGCAATCAGAGAACAAAAATAAATAAAAAGCATCCAAATTGGCAAGAAAAAGTAAAATTTTCACTACTCGCAGATGACACGACACTGTCTATAGAAAACCTGAAAGACTCCACCAAAACACTGCTAGAACTGATACACGAATTCAGTAAAGTCTCAGATACTAAATCAATGTACAAAAATCTGTTACATTTCTATTTACCAATAATGAAGCAGCAGAAGAAAATTAAAGAATCAATTTACAACTGCACCAAAAACAGTAAGATACCTAGGAATAAACCTAACCAAAGAGGTAAAAGACCTGAACTCTGAAAACTAAAATACTGATAAAAGACATTGAAGATGACACAAAGAAATGGAAAGACAGGGGTGCCTGGATAGCTCAGTCAGCTAGAGCTAAGACTCTTGATTTCGGCTCGGGTCATTATCTCGGGGTTGTGAGATCAAGCCCCACATCAGGCTCTATGCTCAACGTGGTGCCTGCTTGAGATTGTCCCTGTCCCTCTGCGCCTTCCTCCTGCTCGCTCACTCTCCCTCTCTCCAATAATAAATCTTAAAAAAAAAGAAATTGTGGAGATGACACAAAGAAATGGAAAGACATTCTGTGCATATAGTTTGGAAAAGCAAATATTGTTAAAATGCCTATACTACCCAAAGCACAATCTACATATTTAATGCAATCCCTATCAAAATACCAACAGCATTTTTCACAGAGCTAGAACAAACAATCCTAAAATTTGTATGGAACCGCAAAAGGCCCCGAATAGCCAAAGCAACCTTGAAAAAGAAACGCAAAGCTGGAAGCATCACAATTCCAGACTTCAAGTTATATTATAAAGCTATAGTAATCAAAACAGTATGGTGCTGGCACAAAAATAGGCACATAGATCAACAGAACTGATGAGAAACCCCAGAAATAAGCCCACACTATATGGTGAACTAATCTTGGACAAAGCAGGAATTTGCATTCTACAAATGGTGTTGGGAAAACTGGAAGGCAACATGCAAAAGAATAAAACCAGATCACTTTCTTATATCATACACAAAAATAAATTCAAAATAGATGAAATGTGAGACACAAAACCATAGAAATCCTAGAAGAGAACACCAGCAGTAACTTCTTTGACATGGGCAGAAACAGCTTTCTAGGTGTATCTCCCGAGGCAAGGGAAACAAAAGCAAAAATGAACTATTGGGACTTCAAACAAAATAAAAGGCTTCTGCACAGTGAAGGAAACAATCAACATAACTAAAAAGCAACTTACAGAATGGGAGAATATATGTGCAAATGACCTATCTGAAAAAGGGTTAGTATCCAAAACATATAACAAATTTACAAAACTCAACACCCCAAAAACAAATAATCCAATTTAAAAAATGGGCAGAAGGAGCACCTGGGTGGCACAATCGGTTAATCATCCAATCTTGGTTCCAGCTCAGGCCATGATCTCAGGGTTGTGAGATAGAGCCCTGTATTGGGCTCCATGCTCAGCACACAGTCTGCTTGGGATTCTCTCTGTCTCGCTCCCTTTGCCCCCCTCCCCTGCACACTCGCTCTCTCTCAAATATATAAATCTTTAAAAAAAAATGGGCAGAAGACAATAGACTTTTTTCAAAAGAAGACATCCAGATGGCTAAGAGACACATGAAAAGACACTCAACATCACTGATCATCAGTAAAATGGAAATCAAAACTACAGTAAGTTATCCCTTCACACCTGTCAGAATGGCTAAAATCAACAATCATAAAAAAACAGCAAGTGTCAGGTGCCTGGATGGCTCAGTGGGTTAAGCATCTGTCTTCAGCTTTTTTTTTGGAGGGGGCTCCCTGCTCAGTGGGGAGTCTGCTTCTTTCTCTGTCCCTCCCCGTGGGGCTCCCTGCTCAGTGGGGAGTCTGCTTCTTTCTCTGTCCCTCCCCGTGCTCCTGCACTCTCTCAAATAAATAAAATCTTTAAAACGTTTTTTAAAAAAACAGGTGTTAGTGAGGTTGTGGAGAAAGGGGAACCCTCTTGTACTGCTGGTGGGAATGCAAACTGGTGCAGCCACTCTGGAAAATAGTATGGAGGTTCCTCAAAAATTAAAAAATAGACCTATTCTACAACCCAGCAATCACACTACTAGGTATTTACCCAAAGAATAAAAAAATACTGGGACGCCCAGGTGGCTCAGCAATTGAGCATCTGCCTTCAGCTCAGGGCATGATCCCGGGATCCAGGATTGGGTCCCACATCGGGCTCCTTGCGGGGAGCCTGCTTCTCCCTCTGCCTGTGTCTCTGCCCCCGCCCCGTGTCTCTGATGAATAAATAAATAAAATCTTTTAAAAAATGCTAATTCAAAGGGATACATGCACCCCAATGTTTATAGCAACATTATCTACAATAGCTAAATTATGGAAACAGCTGCATGGTAACCAACTGGAATTTAAATGAAAACTTAAAAAAAAAGACAGCATGGTACCGGCAAAGGGTTAGGTAAGATATATAGATCAATAGAACAGAATCCGAATATAGATCCACAAATATGGTCAACAGATTTATGACAAAACTCCAAAAGCAATTCAAAAGAGAAAAATGATCCTTTCAACAAATGGTGTTGGAACAAATGGAATTCCATATACAAAATAATAACCCTCAACCTAATCTCCACACCTTATATAAAAATTAATTCAAAAGAGATCATAGGTCTAAATGTAAAATTTTAAACTGTGAAACTTATAGAATCGGAAAAAATCTTCACGACCTAGAATCCAGCAGAGAGTTCTTAAACCTGACACCAAAATCACAACACATAAAGGAAATAATTCATAAACTGGACATTTTCAAAATTAAAAATTCTTACTCTGTGAACAACATTGTTAAGAGAATTAAAAAAAAACCATACAAACTATGTATCTGACAAAGGACTTGTACACAGACTATATAAATAACTCTCAAGTCTCAATAGTGAGAAAACAAAAAATCCAATTTTAAATAGGCAGAAGAGCTGATTGCACACTTCATCAAAGAGGATATACGAAAAGTAAATAAGCATATATAAAGATCTTAAACATCACTAGCTATTAGTGAAATGCAAACTAAAGCCATGATGAGATACCAACTATACTGCTAGAATGACTAAAATTAAAAATGCTGACAATATCCTGTGCTGGCAAAAATGTGAAGCAACTGGAATTCTTGTACGTTGCTGGTGGAAATGAAAAATGACTCAATCATTCTGGAAAACAGTTTGGCAGATTCTTAAAAAGTTAAACATACACTTACCGTATGACCCAGCAATCCAATATTTATTCTAGAGAAATGAAAACATATGTTCACACAAAAACCTATGTATGAATGTTTAGTTGTACTCATAATTTCCAAAAACTGGTAACAATTCAAATGTCTTTCAACAGGAGAATGGATAGATAAGCTGTGGTACCTCTATACCATGAATACTATCCAGCAAAAAAAAAAAAAAAAAAAAAAAAAAAGAACTGATACACACAACTTATCTCAGTCTCCCGGGAATTACAGCAAGTAAAATACCCTCAGTTTCAAAAGGTCACACACTCTATGATTTAATTTTTTTATCACATTCTTGAAATGACAAAATTCTAGAAATGAAGAATGGTATTTCCCAGGAGTCTAAAAAGAATGGAAGGACTGGGGAAAAGGGGTGGATTTAGCAATAAAAGGGCAACATAAGGGATGTTTCTGGTGGTGGAACTATGTCTTGACCATATCACAATCAACATCCTGGTCATGACATTATACCATAGCTTTGTTAAGATGTACCATTGGGGGAAACTAGGTAAAGGATACACAGGATTTCTCTGTATTATTTTTATAATTGCACATCAGTGGATTATCTCAAAAGATCATTTAATTTTTTTAAAAAAGGTTACGTGCCATATGATTCCTTTATATGACATTCTTGAAGATTAAACTATAGTGACGCAGAACAAATCTGTGGTTGCCTGAAGTTATAGGTGGGGAAGGATTAGACATAAAGGGGTAGCGTAAGGCATTTTTTTTGGCTTGATGAAACCATTCTCTATCCCATAGATTAGTTACACCAGTCTGTATTGGTGACATGCCTTCATCCCAGCACTGACTTTAACAATGCCAAATGTGTTCACATTTATTGTACTGGACAATAACAACAAAAACAATTACTAATGCACACTAATTTTAAACATTTTTTTAAGTGAATAGAAAAAGATGGTTGGCTGTGAGCACCTACAGGACTCTGTCTCTTGGCCAAGTGAAAATCCTAAGTCTGACTTATAAAATTACGTCAGGAAAACGATTCCAAGAAAAGCAAGTTCTCTAAGATATTTCATTCCCAAATTCCAGTTTGACATTGTGTCTTCAGCTCACTGAGGAATGCCATAAGAAATATCTGCAGGAAACCACGGATTGCATTTATCACTGCTGTGGCTGAAGACAATTCCACCATCCATATGAAGACTCAGAAAAGAAATGCCTTGGAAGGCAATTACAGGAAACCTTTACTTCCCTGAGGACTCGGTGTGCTCTCTCCTGATAACTAAGGGGAGCCAGCTTCCTTTAAGTTTCCCTCTGGCAGCCAGAGGCTCAAAGAGATATCTGTAAGTCAATGTTAGTATATGTTACATCCTAAGTCCTCCATGTCTACATTCTAACTTGGCCTTGCGGCTGCCTCTCATTTCCCAATCCTAATGCTTATTTACAAATAATTTCCTATTTTATGTAAGAAATTCCTACATAGCTCATCACATCCATGGTTCAAAAAGGGGGGGTGCGGTGGGGAGGAACAGACAACATACTTACCTGGGACTTGGCCATTTCCTGCTCTTCTTGGGAAAAGGCAGAGACGTGTGAAGGCTGAACTGGAAGAATGGAGAAGTGTACAGCATATGAGAGTACTCATCAGGCTTATCTGCCCGGAATTATCTGCCTAGAAATCCCCTCATTGGCTGGGAATGAAGCCAATTTGTGGAAGTTTGGGCACCCTTGTGGTTTGAACACCCACCTGTGTATTCTTGACTCTTCCTCACATAAGCATCTAACACAAAAGATTTTTTCCTATATACACTTGTGTACTGACCCAAAAATTGTATTTCCAGCCATTTTCCTTAATGAAATAATGTATTCTAATGCTTCACGATTCCTCTATAAGTACTTTCATCTCATCACTGACTTTATAGATGCCAAAATTAACCTTATATGACTCAAGGTAAGAGATTATTAAGAAAATACAAGGGAAGAAATGCTACACAGCTATTAAAATATTGTATGGAACTGTATACTTTAGTATCTGTGTACTTTTCTGTACATATTTCTAAATTAAAAGTTTTTAAAATGTCACAATAAATTTTTAAGCTGAATCACAGTAAACTTCTGAATGAAAAAAAGGTAGGTTATAAAACTGCAGGAACTCATTTCAAAGTATACGTGAAATGTTTAAAAATGCATACCCCTAATACACACTAAAAACTGTCTAAGAATGGACATTTAAATTTAGGGGGATAAAATCAATTTCTTCTGATTTTCTTTCCCTCTATTTTTAATTAATCTGTAATTCAAAAGTGCTAGCATTTGTTAAACACCAAGAACACTGAACTTTGAAAACTATCATCCTCGTGATACTTGAATCCCGACGATCCCAACCCCCCCCCGCCCCACCCCCGCAGACCCGGTAGCAGTAGTGTCTCCCACCCCGCCCCCCCAACCCCAAGCTTTAAGCTCTGAGGTGAGTCCTCTCAGGTGCCTCTTCCTTCTCCTCACCTCACTGGGGCCGGCTTGCCCAGGAGTCAGAAGGAAGCCTTCGGGTGCAGATTCACTTCAGAGGTGGTATTCACACCAGGCCCCTACCCTGGGGCGCGTGGGCAAGGGGAGAGGGGCAAGAGAGGGGGGCGCGCCTAAGGAGGGGCCTGAGGAGTGCGTATGAACCCTTAGCGCAGGTCACTGTGCTGGAAAATGTGTAAAAGTCAACGTTTAGCAAGCCCCATTCAACCCTGACTAGTCCCATAACTTTGTTCACTATCGTGCCCAGAGACCTTCAATCGGTCTCCCATCACCCCATCACCCCCCAACTCCCCCCATCAATGACCCCCCAACACCAAATCCCCCGTCGTTCGTCCCCCACACAAGTCCCCATCACAGCCCATCACCTCTAGCGCTCGCCCTCTCAACCTCCACCCCCCTCTCACCCTCTCGACAATAGATTTTCTGCTCACTGCAGAGAAGACCAGTACAAGAACTGGCTCCGAAAAGCACTTCCGCTTCGGGACCGACTCGGGCTCCGCAGCCTACAGGGCTGCAGCAGCTGGGCGTGCGCACGCTCAGTGGGGCTTTGAGCCCGCGTCCGCCAATAGTCACCACTGGGCCCCCTCCCGCCCCCCTCCCCCTGGCCCCACGCGAACGCGGCGGGGCCGCGGCGCCTGCGCGGAGGGAAGATGGCCGCACCCGCGCGGTCCCTGCCTTGAGATGGCCGCGCCCACGGGGGCTCTTCCCCTCGAGGGCTGCTGCGTGGGGCAGGTGTTTACTTTGTTCTGCCGAGGCTGTCATTCCTGAGACTTCGAAAACCATTTTCCTTATGGCAGGGAGGGGAATTGCCCAATTGAGGAAAATTCTGGCGGGCGGGAACTTGGTGTCTTGAACCCGAAGGGCAGCATCGGGTGTACAGGTGTAACTGAATAGGAAGCCGGGATGCGTGGCAGAACTGCGCGGCGTGCACAAAGGCTGGGAGGTGGAGAAAGATCACACTGGCTCCCTCCAGTGTCTAGAGCTGGGAGTTTTGAGGGACGGCATAAAAAACAAGCTGAAGAATAAATAAACGGCAACCTAGGATTCCCACACCCTGGGGTGAAGGGAATGTGTTAAGCAGGGGCTGACGGGTTGCTTTCTCTGGATGGCCAGGAACGAAATCCTTTCCTCGGAGGTGACAATTTTGCTGACCAAAAGGAGCTGGCCACACAAATAGCTGAAGCAATGAGCATTCTTTTTTTTTTTTTTTTAAGATTTTTTACTTATTCATGAGAGACACAGAGAGAGAGAGAGAGAGAGAGAGGGAGAGGCAGAGACACAGAAGCAGGCTCCATGCAGGGACCCCGACGTGGAACTCGATCCCAGGACTCCAGGATAACGCCCTGGGCCAAAGGCAGGTGCTAAACCACTGAGCCACCCAGGGATCCGAGCAATGAACTTTCTGATGGAGGGCACATCTTGTTGCAAAGGCCCGGAAGTGGGATCTAATTCCATGTGTTGGAGGAATGGAAACTGGCAGTGTGTTGGGAGCGTAGGAGGTGTGAGGGAGGGAGAGGCAGGTGGGGGCCAGATGCACAGGACCTCCTTTGCCAGGAACAGAGCTCATGCTTCATTCTAGACAGAATGCGAAGGCGTAAAAGGGGAAAGATTTTTTTAAAGATTTTATTTATTTATTCATGACAGACACACAGAGAGAGAGGCAGAGGGAGAAGCAGGCCCCATGCAGGTAGCCCGACATGAGACTCGATCCCAGGTCTCCAGGATCACACTCGGGGCAGAAGGCAGCACTAAACCGCTGAGCCACCGGTGCTGCCCAGGGGAAAGATTTTTAAAAGACCCCCTCAGAAGCAATCTCTCTCATTGTTTATTGCGAATCTTGGACCACTAGAACATGAGCTTCACCGAGATTTGCTTAAGCACTTCCTGTAGGACAGTATTCTAGACATTAGGAATACAGCAAGGGAGAGGACAGAACCAAACAAACACGATGGAGATGGCCTGGTTTCAAACCCCCACCTACCAGCTTTGTAACTAATTAGGGCAGAACTCTCCTCTGTGCTGTTTCCTCATCCAAAAAACGGGGACAGTGACAAATGAATTGATAATTATGATGTAGGAACGAGTTAGGGGCAGATGGGGCTAGACAGGGAAAGATAAGGGAAAGGCCCAAAGTCAGGCTCCCATAAATCTGTGGGCTCCCATAAACCCCAAGGACACTGAGAGGCCCTAGAGTCAGGCTTCTACTCATCCCAAGAAAATAGAGATAGGGCAGCAAAAACAAAAAGAAACTTGGCTCCCTAGCTCCAAAATGTTAGGGAGTATCTCCCTTTAATAGTTACTAAGTAATAATCAAAGAAACTCACCAGACCACAAAGAAATAAGTCATTAAGGTGTTATCAACAGTCCCTGCTCAAACTAAGACTGCACAAGAATCTCAAGGCCATGGGCTACCTGGCTAGCTTCTCAATAAAAGACTGCCACTAAAAGCCCTCAGTCACAACTCTTGTCAGGACCTGTCTCACTTCTGAGAGCTTTCTTTGTATCTTTGCTTAATAAACTTCTATTGCAAAAAAATAAAAAATAAATAAATAAACTTCTATCGCTTTACTCATTCTGTTGTCTGTGAGATTCATTCTTCCACTCCATGAGACAAGAACCTAGCTTTCCCGTATCATTTATGTTTAGAACAATGCATGGCACATAGCAAGCACTACATGTTTTATTATCATGATTATTTAAATAAAATTAGGTGTGTATAAGTATTAAGCTTTTTTTAATAGAAAGGAAAAAAATTAAAAGATAACCTGCAGGCTCCTTTGGAGAACAGACTACAGATGGCAAGGGTAAAAGCAGGAAAAACAGTGTGGCTTCAGCCAACAGGCCCAGCAAAGTGATAATGGTGGCTCGGACCTAGCTCAGTATCTCCTGTGTGCCACATGCTGTATAAAGCACAGGACACGACCTACTTCACTCATATAGTCCCCACTATCTGTGAACAGTCCCATGGCCTCCATTTGTCAGATGAGGAAACTGAGTCCTAGAGAGACTAAGTAACTTGCCCAATGTCACACAGTTTCCTAAGGTTGGATCCTTGACTTCTACCCAATAATATTCCTCTTTTGTTTACTTAGTATCCAATACAACTCAATAATATTCCTCTTTTGTTTATTTAGTATCCAATACAACTTCCAGAAAGTATCTGAGGGTCTTCATCCCAGAACCATTAAAAGTAGCCAAGGAAATGATTCTATCAGAAATCTAGATGGAGCTTCCTAGCAGACAAAGCAAAGAGAGGAAACAGAGGAATAACTCCTACCTCTTGCTCCCGGAAGGATCAGCACTTCTTGGGTACAAAACATGTCAGTTCTCTCTGAATGCATTAGAAGGTGGGAAGTAGGAAGGGCTGGACCTGTAGGGCTCATCCCAGCCTGGCCTCTTCCATCTTACAAATATCATCCCCCCAACCTTGTTCACACACTCCTGTGTGTAGAGAGAATCTTTTAGGGTTGGTGGGTATTGGGATACAGTGAATGCCAGCTCCAGAAATGTCCCTGAGCCAGGGATACAGCCCCCCAAAAACTGTCCCAGGGTTCACAATGCACAACCACAAGCTTTGTGAGGCCAGCTTTTCTGCACGGAGCCAGGACTCCCACTCTGTCCTGGGCATCCTCTGCCGTCAATCCCCACAGGTGCAACCTCCTCATACCATGGTCTAAGCAGCACATGGCTAGGTGGACGGGTATGGAAAGCTGACAGTAACTGGTCCCACTACAGAATCTGTAAAATGTGACATTCCCACCCAAAGGCCCCCCACCTCACTAGTGAGTCATTATCACAATTGCTCTTAAGAGCCATTTCATCCAAGGAGTGTCTCGCTGGCTTGGTCAGTAGAGCATGTGACTCTCGATCTTAAGAATTATGAGTTCAAGCCCCACATTGGACATAGAGCTTATTTTAAAATAAAAGATACTGGGGATCCCTGGGTGTCTCAGCGGTTTAGCGCCTGCCTTTGGCCCAGGGCGTGATCCTGGAGTCCCAAGATCAGGTCCCACATCGGGCCTCCTGCATGGAGCCTGCTTCTCCCTCTGCCGGTGTCTCTGCCTCTCTCTCTGTGTCTCTCATGAATAAATAAAATCTTTTTAAAAAAACAATAATAAAATAAAGATACATTTCATCAAAACTATATTAGTGTGAAAAATAAATAAATAAATAAATAAACAAACAAACAAATTATATTAGTGTGGCCAATTGTGAGGAGGAGTCATTTTGGGCCATAAGGTAACAGGTGAGTCTGTCAGAGCACACGAGCCAGTTCTTTGAAGCTGCCATGCTAGCTCTGAACTACTTGCTTCCCCTTCCATTCCTCTGAAGCCACTGGTATTTGTAGTATATACCATCACTTGTATATGAATCCTGAACAATATGTCAGACTTCTCTGTCTTGGCCAATGCAAGTGTCATTAAATCAGGGGCTTATGGGACTGGTTGGGGGCAGGGGTGAATAATGGTGAATGAAGGACAAATTGTGGGTGAATGCAGCAAGGAGAGATGGAGGGTGATGAAAGGTGAGGTGAATGAGTAGAGTGGAGTGAAAATGGGTAGTGTGGAGCAGCATGAGGGGATGACTATGCATTTAATTTTGAATTAATGTGAGATCATGCATAAGGGCTGAGTAAACGGTGGGAAAATGAGGCATGGTCTAAAGTGACAAAAAATGAACATGGGAGCAAACTGAGTGAATGGAGCAATTCAAGGTGGTGAATGTGAATAGAGCTAATAAAGCAGCAGAGTGCAAGTTATTCTGAGCACTAAGGACCAGAGTGTGAATAAATGATGGTTTATGGGGCATATAAGAGCAAGGGAGGTGAATTTAGGGGGAGAGTGGGAGTGAATGGAGGTAATGTGGGCCATAGAGGGAAAAATGGGGAGCACAAGGGACAAAGAAGAGGGAATAAAGATGTATACAAGGTAGAATGTGAATATGTGAATCAGGTTGAGTTGAGTGGCCACACTCTGAAGGAGAAAGGGAGTGACTAGAGGTGAATAAGGGGCAGACTAGGGTAATGAGGGGCTCTAGGAATGTCCAGGGATCCCAGATTCAATCAGCTCAGGTGAAGGAGCTGATGCATGTGCATGAATGGAGCTAATTCTGGGAAGAATGAGAGGGAATGGAAGCAAAGAGCAGAAGAACGTGAGGAACTGTGGGTGTTGTGAGTCAAAGGGCAAGATGAAAGTCACATGGCCCCACGGGAATAAAGGGGGGGATAGGGCCCAGTGTTAGCAAAAAAAGTGGTGAATTCAAGGCAGAATGTGACTGAATGAAGGCACTATGGGGCACAACAGAAACAACTAGACAGGCAATCAGGTGCAGAACAGGAGTGGTGAGTGGGAATAGGGGTTACATTGGAAATGAATTCCAATGAATGAGATCATTTCAATGAATGAGAGGCTGAGTGAGAGTAAATGGAGTCGATGAAGAGAATGTGAGGAATGGGGGTGAGCAAGCATAGAATGAGAATCCGTGGGCAACGCGAGCTAGTGTTTGGGAGTAATATGGGGAATGGGGATAACATGGGAGTAGCATTTGAGAGAATAAAGGGGAAGAAGGGGCAGAAAGAGAATGAAGGAGGGAAAGAATGAGGCCTAGAGTCCATGAACAAAGCCGAAGGATGGGCCCTTTGAGAGTGAATGAGAGTCACTTCATGCAGTGTCCAGAAGTGGAGGGGGAAGTAGAAAATGAGAGTCTGAGAGTGAACGGAGGTGAAGAAATATGATGTGAGAGAATTGGGGTCATGTAAGGAGAGGGTTAAGGAACTGTGGCAATATGAGGCCCAGGGTGACTGAAGGTAGGTGGACGAGAGGCACTATAAGTGAACGAGGGAATAAATGATGGAACAAGAATGGAGGTGGAAACAGTGGTAGGGTGTGCATCTACATGTAATGTGTTGTGTATAGTATGTAATGGAGGGCAGAGAGTGAATGGGGCTAACGTGGGCCAGATTCCAGTAAACTGGGGTGGAACGGTGCATAATAAGTGAAGTGCAGGAAGTGCTGAGAATGGAAGGGCATGGTGGTCATATTGTATGGAGCGGGAGAAACTGAGGCCATAGTAGGCACAGTGTCGTGAACAGTACTGACTGCTGAGCAGAGTGGGGGGAAGGGAGACGATGAGGGGCAGTGTAAGTGGAAATGGAGGTAACCAAGTGGTACAGCATGATTAAAAACAGTGGAGTGGGACAGTATTTAAAGAATGTGGGGGAATGTGGGCTGATCATGAAGCCCAGGGCCTGAGTCCTGTCTGTGCTCTGCATCTCTGGCCCCTCTCTTCCTGCATCTCTTTCTGACATCTCAGGGTTTCTCCCTGGTTTTTCCTCCTCCCTTCTCTGTGTATAGGTCAGTATCTTTCTTTTTCATTGTGTGCCTGTCTCTAATAAGGGTAGCACTGGGAAAGATGTTGAGGTGTCCAGACCTCTGGCTCTGTGTTCCAGAATCTACCATGTAGCTATTTCTTCATAGAGCCCAGAGTTCCAGAATGCCCCTAGTTCTAAACAGGGCAGGGTGAGTCTAGAGCAAAGAGTTGGGCAGGAGGGCCTATGGATGTTATAATGCAGGCCTGGGTCACCATGGTGGTGACCCTGGCCACGCTGACAGTTGCCCCTGTGGATGCCAAAATCTATGAACGCTGTGAACTGGCAATGAAGCTGGAGAAGGCGGGCCTCAATGGCTTCAAGGGCTACAGCATTGAAGACTGTGAGACTCCAGCTGCCCCAAGTCCCACACACACCCCCTAGCCACCCATCACACTCAGACCCAGGCCCCCCTTGTCACTTATCATCTCCCTGGGCCAGGGCACCATCCTCTCGGTCATCCCCAGACTGACTTCTCTCATGTCCTTACCATCACTGCCTTCACAACCATCACCCTCATCTCTACCATCAATACCATCGCTACCATCAAAATCATGACAAGTACTATCACCACTGCCATCACTGAGATCTCACCAGAATCACCAACATCATCACCACCACCAAACCAGGATCATCACCCCCACAACTGAGATGACAACCATCCCCGCCCCCTCCCCCTTGTCCTGCCATCCCCTTGTCCCAGGACCCATGCCTACCTGCTACCTACCCCCTCCCTGTCCCAGGGCTGTGCATGGCACACTATGAGAGTGGCTTTGACACCTCCTTCGTGGACCACAATCCCGACGGCAGCAGTGAATATGGCATTTTCCAGCTGAACTCCGCCTGGTGGTGTAACAATGGTGTTACACCCACCCAGAACCTCTGTCACATGGAGTGTCGTGGTGAGGCAGCACTGGGGACACCCTGAAGCCCTGCCTGGCCCCACTGCCCAACACACAGAGTGCAAGGTTGCCTAAGCCATAATCTCCGGTAACAAGCAGAAACATGATAGAGAAAGGAACAGACTTGCCTGGGCTATTAGAGACACGATCCTGTATCTTTACTGATTACACTGAGATGTTGTCCAGGTCAGGAGGGCTCAGAGCTCCTGGACCTCACTGAGAATGGAGGCTGCAGTTTTCTGGGACTCAGGAAGCAGGAAACTTGGCTCCATGCAGAATGGAGGGGGAGATTGTCCTGATTTGGGGCTGAGGTTGTTCAGGCTCTGAGGGAAGAAACACGTATCTGGCTATAGGAACAGAAATAAAGTGTATCTGTGCAGAAAGGAGAGAGCTTTCCAGACAAGAGTGTGGTGTTATTGCAGACAAAATTTAATGGCAGTAGTTGTTCAGGGTTGGCCAAAATGGTGCTAGAGGTTGTCTGAGACAGACCAAAATGGGAACTGAGGTTACTGGGGGCTAGACCAAATGGAGGTTGAGGTTGTCCAAGTCCTGCTGCAATAACAGAAGAGGTTACCCAGGATTGGTCAGCTTGAAGGTTGAGGTTGTCCAGGACTAGCCACCACAGAGGTTAAAGCTGTCTAGGACAGGGTAACATGAATAGTACAGTTTCTCAAGACTGGCTAAAATGGGTTAAGGTTGTTCACTTTGAGGACTTTGTGTGTTTCACTTCACATGGAAGTTGAGGAGGGATCAGCTCCAATGGAAGTTGAGGTCCTAGAATGGTCAACATGGAGGTTGGAATTATTTGTAACTAGTCAAAATGGCAATTGACCTTGTCTGAGGAAAGCATCCTCATCCTATGGACTGATGGGAAAGTGGCTTCTCCAGCCCAGCCATCCGTGCTGCAGACCGTCTGCCCCTATTGCCTATGTCCTCCGGTCCTGCCCGTTTCTCCTGCCAAAAGGACATCTGGACACTTCGAATTTTTCCATAAAGCTTGATCGTTGGATCATTAAATCTCTAGAACTGTTAGGAACCAAGGGCCTCCCTTCAGTAGACTTTTCCCTAATTCCAACTACCTTAAGTTTGCTCAGATTTGTGGGTAGCTTCATCCCCTTGACTAAACATTTAGTCCTTTGTTAGGTTGACATCACAGAAGCACTGAAATCAACAGTCCAATAAAATACGAACTAGCTGTGAAAAAAAAAATGGCAATTGAGGTTGTCCAGGACTGGTCACCATGGTGGTTAAGATCATTAACCAGTCAGAAGGGTAGTGAAGGTCACCCTGGTTGAGCAGTTGGGATCATCAAGAACCAAACACAATAATGACTGAGGTTGACTGGAACTAGACAGCATGCAGATGGAGGTCATTTGTAACCAAAGTGGCAGTTGAGGTTATCTAGGAACTAACAACATAATGTTTGAAGTCAGCAAGACTGAATTCACAACCAGCTGACAAGTGAATCCAAGGTCATCCAGAATCAGCCAATGTAGTGGTTGAAGTTATTCAGGCTCCAAGGAATCCAGAACCCCTGGGCCAGCCATATACTGTCACCCTGTCCCCAAAGCACCAGATCACTATGTCACTTTCTTCCTTCCTCCCAGACCTGCTCAACCGCCATATTCTGGATGATATCTTGTGTGCCAGGCAGGTGGCATTATCAAAGAATGGTATGACTGCCTGGTAAGTTCATGGGGGTGGCTTGGGCCCTGGGCAGCTGGGATAATGGCACTGCCACCCCATCAGCCTATCCACTTCATCCTCCCATCCTCCCTCCCTTCATTTCCCAGGGATTCTTGGACCCGGCACTGTTCTGGCCATTATTTATCTGAATGGCTCAAGGGATGCAATATGCATGCCAAATCTGACTCAAAGAAAATTAATTCATGACTCAGTTTCCCAGAGATAGAGATTTCCTGGATTTAATAAAGGATGCTATCTATAAATAATACAAGAGACCTCTGATGCCTAACTCTTCATTTTCCCAGTGCCTGGAAGTATCCCCATTCAATCACTTCCTCCATACATTCAGAGTTCTAATCAGAGACACCAGATAACTCAGGGTGTAAGTAAGAGCGCAGCTTCTCCTGGGTTCAAATATCATCTCTACCATTTATGAGCTGTGTTGTGTTGGGCAAGGCATTTAATTTCTCTGTGCCTCAGTTTCCTCATTGGCAAAATGAGGATGATAATGATAGCAACTATTTCATAGGATCATTGGGAGAATCAAATTAATGAGTGTTCAGCAAGCACATAAAGTGCTTGGTACACAAGGCAGGTATAGGTCTGGAAACAGAAGGGCGGGATGAGTGTCTGTGAAAATTGGCTTTCCTTAAAAAGCATCACTTTCAGAAGTCACTATAGGGTCTTTAATTAAGGTATTCCCCAGGGAAAATAATATTGGTTTCAGCTTACACTGGAGGCTCAGTGGGAATTAAAGCGTTCACATTCTCCCACATCCTCCCACACTTTCCCATTCTAACATTCTGCACACCCCCTCAGCCCCACCCCACCACTCCCTCTTTCACTATGAGTATCCTAAATTTCAAATGACAGGGTGGGAATTTAGGCCAGGAATTCAATGGATACACAGGGTAGTAATTTCTTTTCACGAATGCCTGGATTTTGATGTGTCTTGGGCAGAGAATTTAGGAATTTAAACTTGCCACTCTTTCTCTTTGTACCAGCCCCATCAGAAGCCGCCATCCCCGTGAGGAAGCAGTCCCCTCACGTCTTTTGTACTTTTTGGTTGGGGGTGGATATTCACCCACCTAAAGCCTTGTTTTCAGTGTTTGTTTCCTCCAAGGTAAGCACAGGTGATCATTAAAGCACATATCCACCAGTGTAAGAATGACCGAGCCTCCTTCCTAAAATGCCAATTTGATTTCTGCCTTCAGCCCCAACCAGCCTAGATGACCAAATTTCACATTTCCCTGGGGATCCATAAAGGGGGCCATCACTCTCGGTACCAATTTCTGTATTTATCAAAAGCAGCAAAAATAAATTCTGCTGAATTTAAGTAAATAAGTGGGTCTCCTAAAAGCCTATAGGTAGCCTATAGCATTTCTGGAAAGACTGCGTGATCAAGCCCAGGAAGAGGAGAGGTATACACATAGACACAAAGCCAAAATCTTTTTATTTTATTTTATTTTTATTTTTTAAAAAGATTTTATTTATTTATTCATGAGAGACACAGAGAGGGAGAGAGAGGGGCAGAGACACAAGCAGAGGGAGAAGCAGGCTCCATGCAGGGAGCCTGATGTGGGATTCAATCCCAGGACTCCAGGATCAGGCCCTAGGCCAAAGGCAGGTGCTAAACCGCTGAGCCACCGAGGGATCCTCATTATCTTTATTTTCAAAAAATATTTTATTTATTTATTTATTTATTTATTTATTTATTTGACACACAGAGAGAGAAAATATGCACAAGTAGAGCAGAAGGCAGAGGGAGAGGGAGAAGCAGACTTCCCATTGGGCAGGGAGTCCCATGCAGGCTCCATCCCAGGACCTGAGCAGAAGGCAGATGCTTAATTGACTGAGCCACCCCGGCACCCCTAGTAATTATCTTTAAATCTGTAGCTTTATATCAATTGGCAAACTCTCTTTTTCTTGTGGATGGCACTTATTCCCCATCATGAGAGCCGTCAAAATATCTAAACAGATTTTGTTACTTTTTTCTATGAGAATTTGGTGTTAAATCTGGACTATATCCCTCCCCAGAGGACTATGTTTATTGAAGTTAATTAAATTGGGTTTCTCTCGATACCTGTGCCCAAATTTATAGCGAGGCTTGGCTTCCAGCTAAAGCTTCTCATTATATTCAAGGCCCCAAAGACTGAAGACATGAACCACCTCTCTGATGTAAAATAGTCATTCAACACACACCCATGGTAGCCAAGTACAGAGGCCATGATTTTTGCATCAAGACCTTGGCTCATGCTACTCCTTCCTCTTGGAATGTTCTTACCCCTAGTATGGCTGGCACCTCATTTTCAGGTCTAAGCTCAAATGGCACCTTCTCAGAAAGGCCTTCCCTGACCATGTTAGCTAAAGCAGGATCCCTCACCCTGCCTTTTTCGTTTCCTTTGACTCTATAAAGGATTTCCCATTTTCATTTCTTTCACAAAGTTTCTTTTCTCTCTGAGGTCTTTAACTCACGATGAGCTTTTACTATGGAAGAAAGTTTTTCTCATATTCAAGAGAGTCTGGGGCACCTGGGTGGCTCAGTGGTTGAGAGTCTGCCTTTAGCTCAGGTTGTGATTCCAGGGGCCTGGGATTGATCCTGTGGGGAGCCTGCTTCTCCCTCTATGTCTCTGCCTCTCTCTGTGTATCTCTCATGAATAAATAAATAAAAATCTTTAAAAGAGGAGAGAGAGAGAGAGAGAGAGAGAAGTCAGAGGGTTTTTCTCCTGTGTGGGTTCTCTAACATATAGTGAGTTTTGACTTCATCCTGAAGGCTCTACTACACTTCTCAGACATAGAGGGCTTCTCTCTTATATGAGTTTTTTTTTATGTATAATTAAATATGATTTCTGGGAGAAAGCTTTCTCACATATATTATACTCATAGGGCTTCTCTCCTGTGTGAACTCTCTGATGAATAATGAGATGTGATTTCTGTAACAAAGCTTTATCACATTCATTGCATTCACACATTCAGCAATGAATGCAAATTCACAGGATTTCTCAAGTCTTTCTTCTATATGAGCTCTCTGATGTAACATGAAATAGGACTTCCAGGAGAAGACCTTTCCATATCCATCAGTTTTTTTCCTGAATGGATTCTTTGATGTACATTAAGAGTCACCTTGGGGCACCTGGATGGCTCAGCTGGTTAAGCATCTGCCTTCAGTTCAGGTCATGATCTCAGGGTCCTGGGATCTAGCTCCCTGCCCCTGGCCCATCAGACTCCCTGTGCACTGAGCAGGGAATCTGCTTCTCCCTCTCCCTCTGTCCCCTCCCAACTCTCTCTCTCTCTCTCTCTCTCAAATAAATAAAATCTTTTTAAAAATTTAAAAAGGGGTGCCTGAGTGGTTCAGTCAGTTAAGTGTCTGCCTTCACCTCAGGTCTTGATCTCAGGGTCCTGGGATGGAGCCCCATGTCAGGCTCTCTGCTCAGTGGGGAGTCTGCTTCTGCCTCTCCCTCTGCCCCTCCCCCCACTCGCTCACACTTGCTCATTCTCTCTTTCTCAAATAAATAAAATCTTTAAGAAAAAAAGAAAAAATAAAACAAAAAAGTTTTCTTTTAAAAGATTTTATTTTTTTATTCATGAGAGACACAGAAAGAGAGGCAGAGACACAGGCAGAGGGAGAAGCAGGCTCCAAGTAGGAAGCCCGATGTGGTACTCAATCCCAGTACTCCCAGATCATGCCCTGAGACGAAGGCAGAGGCCCAACTGCTGAGCCACCCAGGTGTCCCAGAAAACAAAAAAGTTTACAAATAAATCAAAGTATTGACAACAGAGTAATGAGGAAAATACCAAATAAATAACGAAACATCTCTTTTCACCAAAAATAAATAAATAAATAAAATAAAATAAAATAAAATAAAATAAAAACATGACAGATTAGAAAGGGTATTTTCACTCAGTAGCAGGGAGTATAAACTTGCATGAACTTTTTCAAAGGCAGTTTGGCAAAGTCTATGAAAGTTCAAAATGGGGGGCACCTGGATGGCTCAGTGGTTGAACATCTGCCTTTGGCTCAGGTCCTAATCCCGGGATCCTGGGATCACGTCCCATATCAGGCTCCCCCCAGGGAGCCTGCTTCTCCCTCAGCCTATGTCTCTGCCTCTCTATATATATGTCTCTCATGAATAAATAAATAAAATCTTTAGAAAAAAAGTTCAAAACATGCCCATCTTTTGAACCAGAAATTCTAGAAACGCTCAGCACAGTACAAGACAGGACATGAAAGATTATTGCCTTGCCATGCAACATGACACAGGTATACAAGACAAAAAAATGTGCAGCTGTTAAAAATCTCTGTCTTGGCAGTGAAATATGTTCTATCAACAAGTATTCATGGAGTAGGGACTATCCCAGCTATGCCAGTAACCAGCTCTGTAACCCCACGCCACTTGCTTATCTACTGTGGGACTCAAGTTTTCTCATCTGTAAGATGCGGATATTAAAGGTACCCACTTCTCAGGATGGTTGTGAGGACTAGGGTGGTCATGTGTATAAAGTACTTAGTATAGTGCCAGGCCCGGTGCAGGCTCTTTAGGTGTTATCTGCTGTTCCTGCCACTAATATTCTCATCATCATCTGTATTATCATTATCATTATCATTACTCCTACCACCTTCATCAATGTTACTATGTGAAGGGAAAACAACGAGTTGCAAAAGTTTGTGTATTATGAGCAAATGTTAGCAAAGGAAGGTTTATATCAACTCTATACTTTTATGTGTATGTAAATATAAAGAAGGAGGGACAGAGAGGTGTCCAGAGATGGCAATTAAATTCACCATAGAATTGGTTATCTGGAATGAGCAATGATATGAAATCCTGAGATACTTTCTTTTTTTATATTGTACATTCTTAAAAGAGTTTGAGGTTTCGGTGCCACTTCTATTGCCATGAGGGGGAAAAAATGACAAAATAATATAGACATTTTTTAAAAAGGGCATAAGGGAGGGGTGCCTGGGTGGCTCAGTGGGTTAAGGATCTGCCTTCAGCTCAGGTCATGATCCCGGGATCCTGGGATCAAGCCCCGCATCAGTCTCCCAGCTCAGTAGAGAGTCTGCTTCTTCCTCTCCTTTCTGGATCCTGGGATGAAGCCCCGCATCAGTCTCCCAGCTCAGTAGAGAGTCTGCTTCTTCCTCTCCTTTCTGCTCCCCACCTCGTACTCGCTCTCTCTCAAATGAATAAATAAAATCTTTTTAAAAAACAAATAGGGAAACTAAGGCACAGAGAAATTAGAGACTGCCTAATAGACTTAAGCAGCTATTATGAACATTTTGGCCCAGAGTCCATGCTCTTAACCACCACACATTACCCTTCCTTTGCTTCTAAGTGTTTTCACACAGGTCAGGGAGAGGGGAGCAAATAAGAACTCACCTGGAAATTAGTCATGTCTGCCTTGTGAAGGGAGGGCAGTGGCCTAGAAAAGCAAAGCTATTGAGAGAGGGGGAAAGGAAAGAGAAGAGTTTGTAACAGCATGGGAAAATGGAAAGTTCACCAAATCATCAGGCTGGCAATCCATAAATGCCAGCTGGTAAAATGGCCATGCTGTAGCCAAGAAAAACGGGAAAGAACATTCGTTTGCCTCACAGAGCGCCATCATTCAACAACTCCGCTCTGTTATGCACCTCCAGACCTCCCAACACTCCCCCCTCACCCATCACTGGCTCTAGACACTCCCTATCGCCCCAAATACCCCCATTATTCACCCCACAGCCCCCATGACTCACTTCACAGATCCCCCGTCACCGACTCCAAAGACCTCCCACCACACCCCCCACACCCCAGAGACCCCACCTCCACAGCCCCCGTCGCTCACCTTAGAGGCTCCCCATCACGTACCCCACCAGACTCCCATGACCCATCTCAGAGCCCCCTCCAAGTACTCACCTGGCAAGTTCGCGTCTTTGCAAAGCCCACACTCGCCGGTGCCGCTGCAGCCCCAGACCAGCGCCGTCTCCCCGCCGCTCCCAGTGAACCCTCCGCCCTCCATCCCCTACTCTTCCGGTTTTCCACCTGGATTCCGGCGAGGCCTGCCTGGAGCTTCTCAAATCAGTCCCAAGTTCCTGGGACGAGCCCTGTCTCGGTCTTTTACCCCACCGTCGAGGGGCTGGGGCTCTGGCCTCCGCGTGCGCATTTGGCCTCGCCCGAGAGGTCAGTGCCAGCAGCCAGTGGCGTCGCCGTGCGTTTGCGGTTCTGCAACTGCGTTGACCGCACGGCGGGGAGGCGGGGGAGGGGGATGGCCGCGCCCCTAAACTGATTTGTCATGGAGCAGGCATCTTTCGAAAGTTCCAGTTCCGTTCAGCGGAGGTCTGCGCCTCGGAAAGTTCAGAAGAGAGGGGATTTCGGGAGGACTTTGAAAACTTGCCGGGAGTGAGGTCCTCGGCGCAAAGGCTAGTGGTGGGCGAGTTACGCGCGTAAAGGCGGGTTTAATGGGAGCTGATGTGGACAAACTAGGGCTCAGGACAAGACCACCCCCTCCGCGGGAAGATACCGCGGCAGAGTTGGGGCTGGGGGGACCGGGAAGAGCACAGATATCCCCGGGAACCATTAGTGGAAAGAAAGGAGGGAAACCGGGAGTGATCCCTTCCTCTACAGATCGGCACCACTGGGAGAGGGGGAGAAAGTGGAGGGGTCGTGGACCTTGCAAGAAAGTAACACTGGGGGGCGCCTGAGGGGCTCAGGGAGTTAAGTGTCTCCCTTCGGCTAAGGTGTGATCCCCGCATCCTGGGATCCAGCATCCTGGGATGGAGAACCCTGCTTCGCGGGGATTCTGCGTCTCCCTCTCTGTCTCTCTCTCCCTGCCACCATCCTGCTTGTGTTCTCTCTCTCTGTCAAATAAATAAAATCTTGAAAACAAAAGTAACACTGGGGAGAGGGGAGAGGGAGAACTGGGGAGCACCAGTCCTAATAGATACTATTGGGCTAGCCGTCCTCTGTGGGAGATTCCGGAAGTGCAGATGAAAGAAATTGCGTCCTGGGAGGACGAGATGTGTGAAGTGACCAGGGTAAACATAAGTGCAAGGAGAGTCAGAGACAGAAGCCTGGGGGGATTGGGGTGACTTGGACCTAGATAAGAATCCAAACCTGACGGTGATCTACCAGGCACACATTCCATCCCTCCTTCTAGGAATCTGCCCCCAGAAAGTTGTGTTGTGGGAGGGTCGAGATGCCAAGTCAGAGTCCGATAGCGCCCCCCCCCCCCCCCCCCGTTCCAGGCCTGCAGGTCTCAGTTACCTGTGGAGGAGCAAAGGGGACACAGTGCTTGGGTGTCTTAAACACTCTACCCTATTAATCACACTCTACCACTTAGTCGTGTGAAAGGCAAAATGCACGGGCTAATTAAGGAGATGATTTTTTTTTTTCAGGCTATTGCAGTGGGGGAAACTCGTTAATGAGGAACATCTCAAAGGCAAGAAAAGGGACCTGGGGTTTCAGAAAGTGTTAAATAACAAAATTTAACCAAGTAAATTTGAAGATCTAATTGGTTTTGTTAAATGGTTCATAAATCCAGCAGCACCTCACCTAGCAAGTGGAGAGGTGCTCTAAGGAGTTGTAAAAAATGGCAGGTTTGCACAGAAGATGGGTGGAGGTAAGAAAGTTACTAGCCAAAGAAAAGGATTGTACCAAACCAAGCCTCACTCTAGAGGGAAAAGCAAGGTGTCTTATCATGCAGATTATCTCATCTTTCTTGGAAAGGAGGATGGAAAGGGCCCAAGTGGCAGATTCATTGGTATGGATTGAAAAATCCCTTGCTGTCTGGTTAAGACTATACTTCTGCAGGAGATTGAAGCTGCAATTAGATTATGTCTTGGGGGAATAAAAAAATACAGATTTCAAGGGGTATATTCACCCCAATGTTTATAGCAGCATTATCAACAATAGTTAAACTATGGAAATAGCCCAAATGTTTATCAACTGATGAATGGATAAAGATGTGGTATATATACAAACAATGTACTATTACTTGCCCATCATAAAGAATGAAATCTTGCCATTTGCAATGATGTGGATGGAGCTAGAGGGTATTATGCTAAGTGAAATATGTCAGAGAAGGACAAATATTATATGATCTCCCTCATATGTGGAATTTAAGAAAGAAAACAGATGAACATAGGAGAAAAGAAGAGAGGGAAACAAGACATAAGTGACTCTTAATAGAGAACAAATAGGGTTGATGGAGGTGGGTGGAGGATGAGCTAATGGGTAATGGGAATTATGGAGGGCATTTGTTGTGATGAGCACCAGGTGTTGTATGCAAGTGATAATTCACTGAATTCTACTCCAGAAACCAATATTGAAGTGTATGCTAACTAACAAAATTTAAATAATAATTTAAAAGATTATGTTTTTGGGAATATATTTGAGAACTTGGTCTAAGTGACACCATTTTGAGCCTGTGGGTTGTTTTGTTTTTGTTTTTGTTTTAACAAGAGGCAGGTAAAAAAAAAAGTCATCCTTGAGTCATGAACAACAGAGATGGGTCTTATCTTGGAATATGCAAAAGCATTGGGAATTGCTATGGACTGAATTGTATACCCCTCAAAATTCATATGTTGAAGCCCTTGTCCCCAAAATGATGACATTTGGAGATGGGACCTTTGGGAGGTTAATTAGGTTAGATGAGATCATACAGGGGACCCAGATTGGATGGGTTAGCATCCTTAGAAGAGACACCTCTGCACATGAAGAAGAGGTCATGTGAGGACACATTGAGGAGGTGGCTCTCTGCAAGCCTGGAAGAGAGTTCTCCCCAGGAACCAAATCAGCTGGTGCATAGATCTTGGACTTCCCAGCTTCCGGAACTGTGAGAAATTATTTTCTGTTGTTTAAGCCCCCCAGTCTATGGTATTTTGTTATGGCAACCTGAGCTTACTAATACTGGGAAACTTGCAGTTCTCTATTTCCTGGAACACAAACATGTGGTGGTATTTCTTCTCGATCGGTGCTTTCTGGAAGAACAGGATTCATTCATATATAAAGTCTGACTCTGCCAGGCCCCTCCAGTCCAGCTCACCTTTGCCCCTTATGGCTCCCATTCCTTCCTACTCTACCAATCATTTAAATCTATGTCATCCCACTGTGCCCCAGATTTCCTCATTCAGTCCCACTGTTTATTCACTTCCATCCACTCTGCTTCATGGCCATCATTCACACATACTGTACCCCATATTAATACCTTTTTTAAAAAAGGTCTCACATATCTATTATTGAAACAACCTGCAAATGCAGAAGTACAGAAAAATCATTTTCCCAATTAAACATGTCCAGCTGTCCAGGAGTGATGTTTTCAGCTTGATAGGGTGAGATGCTAGTGACCTTGAAACAGCGTAAACAGGGGATCCCTGGGTGGCTCAGCGGTTTAGCACCTGCCTTCAGCCCAGAGCATATGATCCTGGAGTCCCAGGATCCAGTCCCGCATCGAGCTCCCTGCATGGGGCCTGCTTCTCCCTCTGCCTGTGCCTCTGCTTCTCTCTCTCTCTCTCTCTCTCTCTCTCTCTCTCTCTCTCTCTGTCTCTCATGAATAAATAAATGAAATCTTAAAAAAAGAAACAGCATAAATATGTGTGCAATCTCATGTACAATTCCTTACACACCTACCTTGGTTCTTCCCTGATGTCTCCTCTTGGAGTTGCACCTGGTTTTATCACCAGTTTTCATTCAAACCCATTGAGGAATAAGATGATTCTGCTTACATTTCTTGGTCAAGAATCATTTGATCTTGAAAGTCTCATGAAAAGACATGACGAGGAACAAAATCAATCATGCACACCACAATAGCAAAGAAAGGGAGAGAGAATTAACACCTTTTTTATTGTGGTAAAATACATATAACATGAAATTTATTATTTTAACCATTTTAAAGTATACGATTCAGTGTCATTTAGTACATTCCTGATGGTGTGCAACCATCACCACTATCTAGTTGTAGACTATTTTCATCACCCCAAGATGAAACTCTGTACCCATAAAGCAGTCATTCCCTATTCTTCCACCACTGTCACCCTCAGCCCCTGCTTCACAGTAATCTGTTTTCTGTCTATGGATTTGCCTATTCAGGATATTTCATATAAATAGAATCATACACTACATGGCTTTCGTGTCTGGCTTCCTTCACTGAGCGTAGTGTCTTCAGGATACATCCATGTGGTGTCATGTATCAGTATTCATTCCCTTTTTAAATACTCTATTGTAGAGATATACCACATTTGGTTTATCCATTCACTGATTGGTAGACATTTGGGTTGTTTCTATCTTCTAGCTATTGTGAACACTGCTGCTATGAACATTTGTGTATAAATTTTTGTTTGAACACCTGTTTTTTTAAAATTATTTTATTTATTTATTCATAAGAGACACACACACAGAGAGGCAGAGACACAGGCAGAAGGAGAAGCAGGCTCCATGCAGGGAGCCCAAAGCAGGACCCAATCCTGGGTCTCCAGGAACACGCCCTGGGCCAAAGGCAGGTGCCAAACCGCTGAGCCACCCGGGCATCCCAGAATACCTGTTTTTAATTTTATTGTGTATATACCTATATACCCAGGAGTGGGATTGCTGGACCATATGGTATTTCTATGTTTAACTACTTAAGGAACTACCAAACTGTTTTTCACTATGGCTACACTATTTTACATTCCCACCAGCAATGTAGGAGGGTTCCAATTTCTCTACATCCTGCCCAACAGCTGTCATTTTCTGTTTTTTTTTTATAGCCATCCCAGTAGGTATGAAGTGGTATCTTATTGTGGTTTTGATTTGCATTTCCCTGATGACTAATGATGGTGAGAATACTTTCATATGTTTATGGACCAGGTGTATATCTTCTTTGGAGAAATGTCCTTTCAAATCCTTTGCCCATTAAAAAAAATTAACTAGGCTCCATGCCCAACATGAGGCTTGAATTCACGACCCTGAGATTGAGAGTCATCTGTTCCACCAACTGAACCAGCCAGGCACTGTTGCCCATTTTTAAAATGGATTTTTGTCTTTTTGTTGTTAAATTGTAAGAGTTCTTTATATATTTTGGATACCAAACCCTTATCAGATATATGATTAGTAATACCTTCTCCCATTCTCTAAGTTGTCTTTTTACTCTCCTGATAATGTCCTTTGATGCACAGAAGTTTTCGATTTTGATGAAGTCCAGTTTACGTATTGTTTCTTTGTTGCTGATGGTTGGTGTCATATCTCAGAAACCATTGCCAAACCCAAGGTCATTAAGACTTACTCCTATGTTTTTGTCAAAGAATTTTATACTTTTGTTCTTATATTTAGGTCTTTGATACATTTTGAGTTAATTTTTATATGTGATGTGAGGTCAGGATCCAACTGCCTTCTTTTGTATGTGGATATCCAGTTGTCCTAGCACATTGTTGAAGAGACTGTCCTTTCCTCCATTTAATTGTCTTGACACACTTGTTGAAATCAATTGACCATACATGGATGGGTTTGTTTCTGGACTTTCAATTTTATTCCACTGAA